CATTTAAGTGCACTCTAGTGTATTGATGTGCCCTCACGTCTGCTCTATGTGCCCCATGTCGATATGCTGTGCTGAATTTACATGCCCAGCCTCCTCAGCAGCCTGGAGCCTATATATCTGTCTGTCCAGACAGCTTGTGCCCTGTCCCCACCCCATACTAGATCTCTGCCCTGTGGCCCATCTATTCTGTGCACATCATAGGCTTCCATCTGCTACCTGTCCACTGCCCAGCCCTGTCCCTTCTCCCAGAGTTGCTATTAGCATACAGGACTTTTCCTCTGGGGGTTGAACTGCAAGACAATTTAGATTGGAGCTTTCAGGGGCCATACTTCCCATCACTCGAAAGGACCAGTAAATGGCAACAAAGATCCATGACTAATATATTTACTCCTCATTCTGGGAACTCCTTGAAGGTAGGAGATGTGTCACCTCTACCCATCAGCAGCTCCCAAGAACAGGAACTGGGTCCCCCGTCAGCTCCAGGAATCCCTGAGGGAAGTAGTGTTTCTTCAGCAGGTTAGGTGCTATGGTCCTGGAGGTGTCATTGGAAAAACAGCAAGCATTTAAAGCTTACCCCCCCAGGTCATAATCATTTCTCTGGCTCACTTTAGAAAAATCTCTCCTGAGTCTCACCTCCACTTGCATAGTCTATCTTGTGTACCACTTGAGGTGCTGCTTAAAAACAAAAAAAAGACAAAGAAATCTTTGCCCTTGGAAAGTATATAGCATCTTTGTCCTGGGAGGTCACACAGGGTCTAGTGGGACAGAAGAAATGGCAATATTGTCCAAGAACAGCCCTAAAAAGCCTTTAGAAAAAAATTCCAAGCTAATTCATAAAAGAGGAAGAGGCATTTGTCAACCAGCAGAGAGAGAGAGACCTTCTAGGCTGAGGGGACAGCCTTGCAAGGGAGAGAGGTGAGGCACAACTACCTTTGGGCCCTGCCCTGTTACTCCTCTCTGGGACCTTCCCTGGAAGCTGGAAGTCCATGGCACCATCTCCAGCTATTTAGAGTGCAGCCCCCTTGTACACAGGTGAAGATGCTGACCATGCCCTGCACCTGTGATGCGTTTCTTTCTTAGCCTTCAGCCTCCAGCTACCAATAGTCACAAGTCACCATGGCAAGTGCAGTGGCCCCTTGGGATCCAAAGGGCCACTGGCTCTAGGACCCCTCATGGATACCAAACTTGAGTCTGCTCAGGACTCTCACAGAAGATGGCATTGTGCACATGCCCTACATGATTCTCCCATATACTCTAAATCATGTCTAGATTACTTATAATATCTAGTGCATTGTAAACGCTGCCTACATGGTTGTTATACTGTATTGTTTAGGGAAGAATGACTAGGAAAAAATCTTTACAAATTTAGTATGGATGCATTTTATTTCCTAATATTTTTGACCTGCAGTTGGTTGAATCCTTGGATTTAGAATCTCCAGATACACAGGATTAACTCTAATTCTCTCATTAGAGGCACAAATAAAATATGAAATCTAGTGAAAGACAATGTGACATGCTTTATCAGCTTAGGTCACAAGTGTATGTGCGCATTTTCTTTTTTGTTTGCTTGTTTGGGGCTGGGGATTTAGCTCAGCGGCATAAGCACCTTGCAAGCCAGCAGTCATGAGTTCGATCCCTGGTACCGATAAAAAATAAATAAATAAATTGTTTGTTTGTTTGTTTATTTGTGAAATAGGGATTGAACCAGAGGTCTCATGCATGGTAGGCAAGCATTCCACCACTGTGCTACATTTCTAGCCTTTTTTATTTTAAGACAAGGTCTCACTAAGTTGCCTAGGCTGGTCTCAAACTTAGGATCCTCAGCCTCCCAGAGTGCTTGGATTACAAGGATTACAGAGTGCTTGGATCACAGTGCCCAGTACGGACTTTACTAATACTTAAATCAATCTTATAAGCAACCTTCTGCCCAACTGAGCAAGAAGTCCAGCACCCCCATCCTCATGCTCTCTCGTCCTCCCCTGAAATAGAAAAGCCCCTGGACTGTCTGTGTAGAATGAGGGCCCATGACTAAATCCCTGGATCACCTGACAGTTCATGCTCTGCCACCACCTGTAAGCAATGGCTCCTTGCCAGTCTCCAGAGTCTGCCACGCCTTTCCACGGCTGCCTCCAAGCCTCTGGAGATCAGAGCCTGTGCAGACTTGCATGGGATGGTCCTCCCTAGACCCCGCTGTAGTGCACCTGACTGCATCCCCATGTCCTGCTGTAGCACCCACAAGACATCTGCTAAGCAGCTGTATCTGGGAGAGCTTCCAACCTCAGCTACTGTGGGCCCCAGCAAGCAACTCCTTGCTCAGGTCTTCTAGGCTCTGGGAGGAAGGCGGATGATTGATCTAGCTGGTGATACCCAAGTGTCATTTCCCCTAGAATTCTCTGGAGAGCTTACAGCATAGACTGTATACCACACTCAGACCACGTGGTTCAATAGCTTGGGGACAGCCTTGCAATCCACATTGCTACCACCTTCTCTAGGACGCTCATGCTGCTGGTACTTGTGTCCCACTTTGTTACACCCTGCCTGTCAGGTTCTGGGTGGCCATTCCACCATGTCTGAGGGCAGTACCGTCCACTTGGGCAGTACCTAGCGCATCAGAGGAAGAGATCAGCTTCTTCATCTTTTTCTTTTCAAGCACCTCCCTCTGCAAATTTACTACTTCCTCTAGTGACTTTGAATCCTCTCTAGCAAGAGTTCTCAAAGCAACATGGGATAAATTTTCAGGCTCTGCTACAAACTCAATGTCTGTGGTCTTTATGTGCCAGTCAGGGGTAGCCAATAGGGGCACAGGAAACTAGTAAATTATACCCTCGGTTCCTAGGGATAGGAGGCAAGCCATGTCCTGCAGGGCCTTGTGGGACATTGGCAGAGTCAGCGGGGCAAGACTGAGGAGGCCAGGCCACAACTTTGTGGGACTGTGCAGGGAGAGAAGGCAGGGTGGGACGGTTTAGGGTGGGTTAGTTAGGGTATTTTAACGGGCTCAGCCAGCGGGTAGTACCAGTTGCTTGGTCTCTGGCCATGGATTGATTAGCAGAGGAGCATGCTGCCTCAGGTGAAGTGGCCAGATAGAGAAGGGTTTACCTATCAAAGATGTACTCACAAAGCCTTTTGCTCTAAGACACTGGGTAACTATGGGATGGGCATTCTCTTCCCAGCTAGATGCTACGCACAAAATTCAAAGTCTAAAAAACACACCTACTGATCCAGAAGCCCTGGAGTGGCCCTGGATTCTCTGTTTTAACCACCTCTCATGTGATTCTGCACATGAAAGAGGGTGAACCGCATGATCTTGAAAGTCAGATGGTCAGTGATAAAAATAGACCCTGATAAATTATGGGGGTCCAAGCTGTTGTCTTATTTGAGCTGCATTGAGTGAATAGGCATTATCTTGGGCTGCGTATAAAATGTATAATATAGTTAATGTATATAAATATCAAAACTTCTTTTATTTTTAATATTTTTCATTATAATATTCAAAAAAGGAAGACAATAGAAACTGATCATAGGGGACAGGCAGAAGAAGAGGAGTTAGCTCCAAACTGCACCCTCAACAATGGCCCCTCAACACCACTACAGCCAGGCACTCAAGTAACAGAGTGTACAGCTCAAGAGGATGTTTAAAGTCCACGTTCTTGTGGGGCTGTTTGATGAGCTGTCCAGGACCTCATGCTGTCTGCAGGGTGCAGTTTGGACACCTTTCCCTTAATGTCATCTCTGCATTAGAGCCTCTCATGTGACTCTGCTAGGGTGACTTGCTGCACCAACCCAGCTACCAGCTGCTGGCCCCAAGGGAAGACAGCAGCAGCTGCCATGGCTTCTGGGTGTTGCTGAGCCATTTCTAGCCAGCTCTGCCGTTACCAGGCAGTGTGACTTGGGGCATTTCACTTTGTGTCTCCCCAGCAGAATGTGGGAATTGACCTGGTGATCCCCAGTGGTTCCTCCAGCCCTGCTTTGTCTCAGTTCTCCTTGATAGTCCAGTGACCCTGTCTGTAAAGTTGAGATCACACCCTGGGATTGTGGATGACGAAATGAGAGAATATGGATGCTCCCACCATGCGGCAGAGGCTTGATAAATCCTGGTGAAATGTTCATTTGTTCTCTTGTCCTTCCCATTCTGCCCAGAGTTTCCTTTCATCCTCCCTCTGACCCTGCTCAGTGCTTGCATCAGGCATAGGGCCCTCTCCTCTCCAGAACCATCTTCTCTGAGTACCACTAGCATCCTTCCACTTCACGAGGCCTGTGGGTGACGTGTCCCATATCCTTCCGTAAGATTCATGAGACACAAAGAGGCGCGTGGAGGTGCAGGCCTGTAATCTCATTGCTCAGGAGATGGAAGGTTCAAGTCTGAAGTCAGCCCAATCTAGAGTTGGTAGCCAGCCTGGACTACATAGTAAGACCCTGTCTCAAGAAAGAGAGAAAGAAGGAAGGAAGGAAGAAAGGGAGGGAGGGAGGGAAAGAGGGAGGGAGAGAATCAAAGAGGGGTATAGAGAAGGGTTAGAGTGGCACAGTCTACACCAGGCTCCAGGCAGATGGAGAGCTGGGGATACCGTGGCAGAGCTGACCTGCTGACTCCTTCTTCTACTAAGCTGCTTCCTGCTAAACCCAAATTCCCTGTTGCCTTGCAAGCTTCGGCCAGCTCCTCTGAGGAACAACGTGGAATATCTGAGCCCAAAGGAGGACCCTTGTATTTCTTCATTGCCTGTCACCACCCCATCTGTCTCCTCCCTCCATCCCTCTCTGCCGGGGCGCCTCTGCCAAAGGCTGGTTATTTATATCCCCGAGCAGCTGCTGACAGACAGCTGGGAGCTGGGAGGTGTCTGACAGAGATGAGCAAGGCAGAGATGACAGGGTGGTGGGCGGTGCTGTCATTCCTAGCAGGACTGCTGGGCAGAGCCTCTTCCCCTTCACCCAGGGAGACAAGGCTTAGACAGGCTGATGGGGACATCTGGGGAGGGGCGCCTCGAAGGGAAGGGGGCAAGGGCTATGCTCCTTGGGAGTGGGAGGAAGCTGGAGTTGGAGGCAAGGACTTTGCCCTACTGTCCTTTCCCAGAAGGCAGGGCGCTGCTCTTGTATAGTATCTGGGCAGTTTCCTAGACCTCTGCACCTCACAGGCTGTGTGACCTTGGGTAAGTCCCATACTCTGGATCTTGGATTCCTCTGAGCAGTGAGATGGGTGGATGTGACCTTCTCCAGGTTCTCTGCCAGCTATGTTAGCAAGGGAGTTCCAAATACAAACTGGAGCTTTGAACCTTGGCTTTGTCACTTGCTTGCTGTGTGACCTTGGACAATTTACTGAATCTCTTTGTATCTCTAACTCCATCTCGTAAAGTGGTGGTTCTTAATAGGATCTACAATAAAGGGTTTTTGTGGGAATAAATGAGTTAATCAATACATGTGATGGGACTGGAGCCGCGCTTGGCACGCACAGTAGTCGTCTAGGCTAAACAGAACATAGGTCTGTGGTTCTCTGGCTATGTTCTCTTGCCCTAAGTAATTGGCTGATTGTATTATAAAGTATTAAGGAAAAAGAGTAAGACTTTTAAGTAAACACTGCAGGGAGAGTGTACAGATTCCCACATTTATCTGTTCTATAGATTTTATAGGATATATGTCTTGCATCATCAAATAGGTGGCTTCCAAACTGGGAAATATCTAGGCTAAGCCTATATTTGTTCTGAGCCTAAATCCCATTCCTCTGACTTTTTGCGTTCACCTATTCTCTCTGGGGACTCTTGTTTGCTCAAAATAGCAAAAGGTCAAAAAGTTGTTCTCTTTTTGCAGCTATCTCAGTTCCTCCCGTCTCCACTTCTCCCTGGCTCCTGCCTCCTTCTACCCTTTTGCTGTCCTATTTTAAAAACTAATACCTGGTCTTGGGGAGTGCAGAATCCCAAGCATATAATTAAGCTCTAGGCTCACTGTGCCAGAAGCACCAGCTGGGCTGTCAGGAGCTGGGGAGGGATGACCTTGGTACAGGGGTCCATTGCCCACCACCTCTGCTCTCCGCTGGCAGATGCCACAGCTCCTCAACCGTGGTATCTAGAAGCCATTCACTACTGTGGATGGGCCCATTCTCTCTTTCACTCCTCTTGGTCCTTCTGTTTGAAAAAGGAGTATCTGCGTAACAGAGAGAGAGGGAAGCAAAGAAGCTGACAGGTTACCATGGAAACCAGCTGAACACATACTCTTAGCTTCTGCTAATACTTGACTTGCAGAAATACTTCTATAACCACAACTTAAATGAACACACACACACACACAGCCACCCCCTCTAAAGAAGAACAAAATGTTGACTGATTTTTCTCTAATCATAACAATTAGTTTCTAATGCAAGAGTCTACTTGAGAGGCGAGGATGAGATGAATCTGTTCTCTTAAAGTGCATGTGTGTGTGTGCATGTGCGTGCAAGTGTGTGCCTGTTTATTTAATTTGTACTTGCAGAAGCCTCTTGCAGTTCACTGTTCCTGGAAACCAAGGACATTGGGTCCAGCATCCCTACACTGCCCAGAAGCCCTGTCACATCCCTGAAGTCCCTTAATGCACTGCTGAGTCATGGCAACCACAGGCCGAGGTTAAAATGTCTGATTTGAAAGCGGCCCCTGTCACAGGCCAGTCCCACAGCACTGTAGAGGAAGCAAATGTCAGAGATAGTTAGTCATCCATTAAGCATTTCATCACCCAATATGTGCTTAATACGAAGAATTAAAAATGATATAAAACATAATAAAAAATCTGGTCCTTATCATCAAGGAATTCATAATCCAAGCAGTAGGAGGCATGACACAAATAACCTGTTACTAATAATAAGGCATCCACATTTGGAAATAGATTTTATATGTACATAAATATTACATTCAAATGATCTCTATGAGCTGGATGAGGTGGGCACGCCTGTAATCCCAGTAACCTGGAAGCAGAGGCAGGAGGATGACCTCAAATTTGAGGCCAGCCTGCACTGCATAGTGCATTCAGGGACAGCCTGAACTACATAGCAAGACCCTCTCTCAAAAACAAAAACAAACCCCCAAACAATAGTCTATGACATCATGCTTTTCAGGAGCGCAGAAGGTGAAAATCTGGGCTCAGAGAGAGGAAGAGCTGATCTAAGATCAGGCCTCCTAACTTTCTAGACCTAATGCTTCTAGGCCACACTCCCTCATCACAAGCCTACTGACCTTGTTCCCTCCCTAGGGTGGCCTACTGGTTCAGCTTAAACACCTCTCCTCTGGAAGGGGCTCATATAAGGACACTGGGGAGGAAGGCACTGCCTGTGTTTAATCTCCACAGCCTCTTCTGATAGGCCCTCACTTAACTTTGATCAAGTAGCCCCCTGTTATTGCTTATGTTCCCCAAAGGTTCCTGTTTTTGGAGCTGGATCCCCTGTGCAGCAGTGCTGAGCTGTGGTAAGAGGTGGAGCCTACTGGGTGGTCTTTAGGTCATTGGAGGAGCTACACCAGAGAGACTAAGGTAGCTCTCCTGGGACTTCTGACCCTTGTCGGAATGGGTTCTTATAAGGTGATCCTGACTTCCGAGCCACTCCTGGCTTCCTGTCTAGAGGTGGAATGTCTTCCCCCACACTTGTTCTTGTGATGGTTAATTTTGGTTGTCAAGTTGATGGGTTGAGAGATGCTTAGGAAATTAGTAAAGCACATTTCTGGGTGTGTCTGCATGGGCCACAGGGCTGAGATCTTCCCTCCACCGAATCTTTCTGCCATCATTGTGCTGCCTTGGAGGCAGCCAACCACGAACTGAATCCTTTGAAACTGTGAGCCAAAATCCCAGCAACAGAAAGGTGACAGAATATACACTCCCACTGTTGTGGTGTCATTTGTCATGAGGTCCTTAGTAGAGCCAACTCAAGGCCAGCACCATGCCCTTGAGTGTCCCGAACTTTGAGCTACACAAGCATCTTTACTTTATAAAGATAGCTTACTTTGGTTATTCTGTTATATACTGAAAAACAGACTATCAACAGGGGACTCACTAGGCCCCAGGGAGTTTACAGCAAGGTCACACAGATGGTTTGGAATAGAGCCTGGCACTACCCAGGCAGGGTAGTGGGTTGTTCACACTGTCCCATCCCAATCCATAGACCTGAAGCCCTGGCTGGCCAGGTGATGGGAGGGTGCGTGTGTGTGTGTGTGTGTGTGTCTGTGTGCATGCACCAGTGAGTCCTTTGCTCCTGCCACCCACAAGTGATCTTCAGTTCTGTGCATTCTCAATTCTGCACATCCCTTTTCCACTTCAAGGCTGGATTTTCATCTCCTCTGCCTACATTTGGAAAGTGTCCCTAATCACTGGAGAATCTAATTACCACTCCTTCTAAGCGAGTGTTCAGTCTCTGTTATGCAAATGTGGCTATAATTGTGTCAGGCAGGTTTTGTTGTCATTTATCTTTTCCTCCTGCCTCCCCCCATCGCTTTCAAACAGGAGTTGTTGCAGCCCCCTCCTTTATTGTGAAGGCTCCCCAGGTCTCTGGCTGGCTCCCCTACCCACAGAAATCGCCTTGATTACCCACTCTGTATCCGGGACTCACAACGGGCCTGCCTTGGGGCAAACAGAAGGAAAAATAAACAGCGTTTACTGGAATTTATTTTATTTCTTTGGAGATGCAAATCAGAAGGTTCCAGATGAGCTCTGCGAACCTCTGTGTGGGGCGGGAGGGTTGGCTCGGAAGTGGGGCAGATCTGCAGCGCGGCAGAGTAGCTCGGCAGGCAGGGCTGTGGTGCCAAGTCCGCGAGGCGTGGGAGAAGCCGGGGTGGGGAAGCAGCCCCAAACCCCAAGATGTAGCTTTTATTATTTGGTCTTGCTAGAAGTCCCTGGGCCTCTGGTCGAAGAGGCTGTTAGGAAACACTGGTCGGTTTCATCTCATAGCCTTCCCGGTGACGCTGTGCTGTCAGAGTCCCTGAGAGGGGTCCAGTTCATGGTGCCAAGGGAAACCAGGTCTGGCCTCCGGAGCTGGCATCTCCTGTGATCCTCACTGGGCAGGGCAGAAGGCACGAAGATTCTGGTTAAAGTATAAACTCATGTGTGTTCATTCAATTGCTAAAAAAATAAAATAAAAATAAAAGCCTACTGAGTTCTAGGCAGAGTTCTAGATATAGGGACTGTATGGCAAAGCAATTAGGCATTAGCTCCCAGTCTTGAGTTAGGGAGGAGGGGTGGACAATTTACAGATGGAGAAATGGATCATAGCAGGTGGTGATGAGGGTTAAGAAGAAAAACCAGGATTCAGAGGTCAGAGGGCAGTGGAGGGTGCAGTTCCATCAAGGTGTTTGGGGTGCACTGTAGGTAAACCGCTGAGCAGAGCTGCCGGTGCAGGCCTGATTCTGCCATGTGGCGAATGAAGGCTTCCATCACAGATCTTCTGCCTGCCCCGACCAAGCCGGAGGTGTTAAGAAGCCATGGACCTGCTCTCTGGGGGAAGAGCTTCTGGGGCACAGTGTTCCTGGTGTCCAGGATCCACTAGGAGCCGTGCAGGTGGGAGAGGGAGGAAAGGATGGGGTAGGAGGAGAGATCAGAGCTCCACAGGCGTGGGGGTCATCTCTGAGTCTTGGAGGTCTTTGGAAGGTTTGGAACAGAGCAGTGACAGAGTACTTTGTAAGGACAGTTCTCACTGCTGTGTGACAGACTGTGTGGAGAAAGCCTGAACGCATGCAGAACCCAGTTCTGGAGGTTTGCATTGCACCCATCAGAGGGCCCAGGGCAGGCAGGAGCAGTGGAGGTGAAGATGGTAAGAAGCCCTGGGGGCCAACACAACTGACTGCCGGGTTGTGTGGAGGACGGCGTCCTGGCTCTAGACCGAGCCACTGGTGCTGCCTTTGCTAAGACGGGAAAGAGCAAAGAGCAGGGGCAGGTGGGGGAGGGAATGGAAGTTCTGCAGAGAGATGTTAGATCTGTGATGCCCTCAGATAGCCAGGCAGCGAAGCAGAGGAGGCACTGGCAATTGGAGTCTGAAGTTCAGGGGAAGAGGTCTGGGCTGGAGGTATAGATTTGCATATAGATGGTACTTACAGTAATGAGAATGGATGAGATCACCTGCAGACTGAGCACTGCTGCCCGAAAGAGAGGCTGCGCTTGCTGCCAAGAGCTTCTCTCTGCCGTGTAAGACAGCGATCTGTCTGGGAAAGTTCGGCCTGGATTTCAAGCATCCTGACCCCCATCCTAATGCTGAGGGAACTCTTCAATTCTGGAGAGGCAAAGGGAAGCAACTAGGTATGGGAAAGAGACAGAGCTAAAGTGTGTGACCCAAGAGCTCACCTCCCCCTCCTGACCTGTGCTGTCCTTTTCAAACGGGATGATAGAGGCGTGGTCTCTGAGGGTCCCTTTACTCTCCTCTGAGCTCCACTCCAGGAAGTCTACTGCACTCCAGAAATGTCACCGACCTCAGGGAGGATATCTTATTCTCCCGGCCTGGCTGTCATTATCTGCAGTACACAGTTGATCCTTGTTATTCATGGATTCAGGACTGGATTTGAAAATTCTTTCATTAGATAAAATTTCTTTGTGACTACCTCCCAAATCAGTACTCATGACACCTCAGCAGGTATTCCTAGATATGTCTGGAACATCAAAAGATTGCTACAATATGGTATGGTGGTCTGTCATCCCTGCACTCCGGAAGGCTGAGTTAGGAGGATCACAAAGTCAAGCCCAATCTGGCTAGTTTAGCAATTTAGTAAGACCCTGTTTCCAAATTTAAAAAAAAAAACGGTCTGGGAATTTGGCTCAGTATGAAGGCCTTAGGTTCAGTTCCCAGTACTTATCCCCCAACCACACACACACACACACACACACACACACACACACAAGATATGTGATGCCTCAGTGTGTTCATTCCTGTCTGAGTTCAGGGAAGGCACTGTGGCAGGATTCAGCTCTCCTGTGGGAACCGGTACCCTTTCTGCAGTGCATTTAGTGCCATGTTTTTTGTTTGTTTTGCTGATTTCATTCGTAAAAGGCTCCCCAAACATGGTGCTAAAATATTGTCTACAGCCTCTAAGCGTAAGAAGGCCATAATGTGCATTGCGGAAGGAATACATGGCTTAGGTGAGCTTCGGTCAGGCGTGAGTTACAGGGGTTCAGTGGTAATGAGTCAGCATTGTTCAGGAAATAAGGTGTGTTTAAGGAAAAACACACATAAAACAAGTGAGGTATTGATTAGCTATTGAAAATACTGTGCCAAGGGCTCACAGGAGCCTCACGGCCTGTGTTCCCTCTGAGCAATGTTTTATTTGGCACAGCATTCGCTTCATCTATATTGTGGTACATTAGGCCGCATGTCTATCGAAGTGACCGTGTTTACATGTCACTCAAGCCCTGCTATGCTCCCAGGTGAAGCTGCTTTAGAATTAGCCCATACCCTTGCAGGAAACAAATTTCCTGACCAAAGTACAGTACTTGTGTGCAGCCCTTCTGCTTTAAAACTGTTTTCCAGTAATTCAGGTTATTTTCTTTCCCATTTATACTATTATTTGTGCTCTGATTTGTTTTCTTTTCTTTTCTTTTTTTGAGAAAGGATTTCACAATGCAGCTCAGGCTGGCCTTGAACTCACTTTGTAGTCCAGGCTGGCCTTGAACTCACAGCAATTCCCCTGCCTCAGCCTCCTGAGTGTTGGGATTACAGGTGTGTGCCACCACACACAGCTAGCTATGATTTATTTATAACACAGTTTGATTTATTTATCACTTTGTAAGTTGGAAAGTTCTTCCAACTTTCTGGTCAGTTTTTAAACATTTGTACAGTGAAATTGGCTTTCTGTGTTATAGCGTGCAATAGATTTTGTCAAGGATTGGGATTATAAACCCACACTGCCATCATGATCCAGAAGGAACAACTCCAACTCCTTTCCTCTAAACCCCTGCCCGATCCCTACCCCTACCTATCCCAGCCACTACATACTCCTTTTTGTTCTTATAATTATGCCTTTTCAGAATGTTCTAGAATTTGCCAGAATGTCATATAAATGTCATATAAATCATGCAATATATAAGCTTTTGCATTGACTTCTTTTATTTAGCAAAATACATTTCAAATTCATCAATTCTGTTTTGTCAACCGGTCCTTCCTTTTTAAAAATTTCTTGGTAGTATTTCATTCTATAGAAGTACCATGATTTGTTTATTTGCAAATTAAAGAACATTTAGGTTGTTTCCAGTTTTGCACATTTATGATTAAAGCCACTGTGCCCATTCCCATTCAGGTTTCATTTTTCTTCAGCAAGGAGGGTAAGATTGTAGAATCATGTGAGTAGTATGTTTAGCTTTGTGAGAAATTGCCAGACTCTTTTCCAAAATGGCTACTGCACCATTTGCTTTGCCCTGGCTTCAGGGAAGTCTACAACCTCGTCAGCACTTGGCACTGTCACGGTCTCAGGTACACTCATGTATCTGATTGTCTAATAGATTTGTAGTAATATCTCATTGTGGTTTCCATTTTATATTTCACTGGTGATTAACGCTTTGCTGTATCTTTTCTTTTGCATTTTTGGCCACTCCTGTATCTTTTTTGGAAAAGTGACTGTTCTAATCTTTCAGCTGGTTTTTTTTTCCCAGTGGGATTTGCTATCTTACTGTTGAGTTTTGAGTTGTTTTGGGTTTTTGTGGGAATCAATCCAGGGCCTTCATACTGAGCTGCAACCCCAGGGTCTTACTGAGTCAAGGTCTTACTATGTCATGAAGTTGCCCAGGCTGGATTCTGATTTATGATGCTCCTGTCTCTGCCTCTCAGGGTGCTGAGATTATAGGCATGTGCCACTACATCCAGTTTGAGTGTATTTATATATTCTAGATACAAGCACTTTGTAAAAAAATGTGATTCTCAAATATTTACTCCCTACCTATGGCTTGTATTTGTATTTTATTAACAATGTCATTTGCAAAAGTTTTAAATTTTGATAATACTGCATTTACCTTTTACTTCTTTCATGGATTATGCATTTGGCATTTTATCTAAAACCTCTTTGCATAACCAAAGTCACGGAGATATCCACCTATATGTTCCTCCTAGAAATTTTATAGTCTTACATTTTATAGAGGGTTTATATGATCCATTCAAAGATAATTTTGAGTTAATCTTTGAACAAATGGTGCAGTTTAAGTTGAGATTCACTTTTTGCATATGTTTGTCCAACTGTTCCAGCACCATGTTGAAAAGACTAAACTTTGAGTGAAAAAGACAGTTGAAAATGGGTTGAAATTATGGGAACTGAAGAGAGCATATAGATAGATGGTAGGGGGACCAGAGACACGGCCCATCAAATCAGAGAGGCCAGGAGACGTAAGTCACCCAGAAAACTGTAGAGATCTGAGGAGGCCTTAGAGTTGCCATAAGTCATTCAAATATCGAGAGGACTTTTGAGCCAAGCTTGGGCAGATCCCTTCTGGGTCTGGGTAAGCCCGGCTGATGCCCCCACCATGAGGGCCACCACCCCCAGAGGCTCTAGTTTCCTGGGACAGCAGAAGGAATGCTTGCAGCAGCCTGGGCCCAAAGCCAGGTGTGGAGGAAAGAGGTTGCTTTGTTTGCTTTCACAGTGAACTTGGTTGCAGTAACAGCACCAAGGTGTCCTTGTGCTTTGATGGTTCTCTCCCTGGGCTTCTAATGGAGATTGACAGAACCTAGCGTCCCAGGTAATTCTATTGTCAGTTTCAGCAGCTCCTGTGCCTCATTAGACAAAAGCAGAGACAAATGAGCACAGAAGGGATGGTAGCCCCAGAGCAGAGGGGCCTGTAGAGTAAACAGCTTGCAGGAGATGACAGGGTGGTGGGGAAGTTATCTGGGCTCTCCATGCAGTCCCTTGAGGCCCCTGGTGGGACACTAGGATATCTGCATCGCAGCTCTGCAGAATGCAGCTGGTATGAACCACTTAGTTTCAGCTGTGAGCCTCTTTCTTTAAGCCATAGAATGAGGCAAGGCTATGACAGTCTTTCACATTGTCCAGTCCTGTGACAGGAGTCCCTCCTTGGTAGGGCCAAGAATGGAGGTGTGTTGGCTGGCTTGGGGTTGAGTAGCTGGTGATACCACGGAAGGGTCTGCTATGGCTTGATAAGGTTTGTCCCCTAAAGGATCCTGAACTAGAGGGGTGGCCTTCAATGTCTTGGTATATAAAATAGCTGGGATTCCTTAAGAGCTGGGGCCTTATGGGAGGTGTGTGGATGAAGATCACCCTAGCGAGGGATTAAGGCTGGACCTGAGAATGAGGTAGGTCTTGCTGCTATGGATTCATTTCCCGGAAAGCAGGTTCTTCAGAAAGAGGCCATCCCCTCCCTGGTCTCTTACTTCCTCTCTTGCCATGTGTTGCTTCAAAAGCCCCCTCCCTTGTACATACTTCTACCATAAAGGCCCTCACCTGAAGCCAACCAGGTGGGGCCACTAAATCCTGAAATTTCAGACTCCAAAACTGTAAGCTAGTAAATCTCCTTATAAAAAAATTCAACCTCAGGTATTTTGTATTAGCAACAGAAAAAGGACTAAGATAGTGGTCAAAGTCTTATATAAACCTCAAACATAAACCTTTAGAGTTTCATTCAGCATAAATAAAGTGCAACAGATCATGGATGAGAAGATCCTAAGCCTATAGGAAACAGGAGTCCGTCACTGTCCTATACTAGTATCTTGTCTCCAGTCCTGGCCAGAACACGCCAGCTTCACATAGGTACACAAAGCACACACCTTATTTAGCTCCTCAGCTCACTATCCAGATTACCTCAGTACTTCATAAAGAAAAGGAGTTTATTTCTCATCGCTTTGGAGTTTGGGGATACTCAGGTCAAAGCCCCAGCAGGTTCAGTATCTGTGAGGGCTGTTCTCTGTTTAAACCCTGGCCCCTAAGTCTTGCTTTGTCCTCATAAGGCAAAAAAGGGCAAGACCACTGCCTTTTTATAAGGAACTATTCCATCCTTAAAAACTTTATCTCAAGTACTGTCACATTTGGGACTATGTCCATACATGTGAATTTGGGAAGACACCAACATACAGGCCATAACAAACCCCAGAATTCATATACACAAGTGCATGTTCTAAATATATCTATTCATACATCCTTTTAAACATTAGGCAAGACATATATACCAGTTGCACCTACAGGCAGTCCACACAGGTTCCTGCAGAATGAATTTGTCTATGAAGTTTCTGTCTGAGGCTTATGGCATCAGCCTCTCTGCTTTCTATTTACATCTTGGATGCATACAGCTCACACACACATTCACACCCACCCACCATTCCCACAACACTCAGCACGCACTCCAACACCCAAACCACAAACACGCTCACAGATCCACACGCTAGACACATTTGCTCCAACATCCCTGCCTCTTCCATTGCCACTGGGCAGATGTGGTCACTTGGGTCCTTCCCAGGCTCCCCAAGTGCACATCTTCATATTCATGCTGTCTTGGGCAGGGTCCCAGCAGCCACCTGGGGCCCCAAAGGCCAGCAGAACTGAATGTCTTTTTTTGCCTCTCTCTCTCTCTCTCTTGTCATTGACATGCAGTACCTGTCCTATCTTTCATTTGTTGCACTGTGTATATGAGTGCCAGTGTCTGCCTGGCATGGAGCCCAGAGCAGCAGCCCAGAAGCAATTGTCCTGTGGGATTGAGCCTCCACGAGCCTGGCATGGGTGCTTGCCAAGTCTGGGAGAGATGTCAAGGAAGGAGGCTTCCATAAGTAGCTCAACCCTGCCCTAGGACTGCAGACAACCACAGAATGAGTCAGCATACAACATCCCCCAATGGTTGCCTTTCTTTGCCTCAAAATTCTGCACATTTTGGGTGTTGTGCACCTTCCCTGAATTAGAAGAGTGAGGGCTGAACACATACCAGCTTAGAGGACCCAGAGTCAGAGGCCAGGCTCTTGCATCACCTGCCAGCTCTTGGTTGTACACTGTGGCCATGGTGTGAATGCAGTTTGTCCCCCAAGGGCTCGTGTAGCTCACACATCCTTTTAAACAGCCCCTGGTGTGGTGATGTTGGGAAGTGGAGGACTTTTAACAGCTGGAGACTTAATGGAGGTCCTTAGGCACTGCCTCAGAGATTAAACTAATTCTCTCAGAACCCTGAGCTCTGAGGAAGGTGAAAACCATCTCAAACCTCCTCCCATAAGTGCTCTGCCATTGAGCTGACACCCACCATAGGGCTCTCACCACAGCCAAGCCAATTCCTGTGCCAAGCCCTTGAATCTCCAGAACTTGTGAGTTTAATAAACCTCTTCTCTTTATTAAATCAGCCTGCCCCAGGTATTTTGTTATGTTAAAGCAGAGCAGACTAATACAATCACTATAGCCTCATCAGCTAAAATGCGCCTGGAACAATAAATCTAAACTGAATAAATATGAATGCGTGTTAGCCTGTGAAACAGACCTCACTGCTTTGTCTCTCAGGGCAATCTATAAAATCTATAAATTTGTAAAATCTATAAAAAATCTCAGGGCAAACTATAAGGAAAAATGCTAACATGAGGAATTCTTGCTGTTATTGTGACCAAAACCAAGTAGGTAAGTAATTCCCTTTCCCGGTTCACATGCTTTGGCCCTCACCACCTCTGTCCTTTGCACTGTCTTTTCCTAAGGAAATGAGATGCCTTACCATTATTTAAGTACCTATTATGGTCCAGGGGCTGTACTTTGTACCTAATAGACGTTTTTTCAATCTTTACAGTAATCTTTAATAATCTCGTTATCTGCAGTTGATAGGGAATTTGAGGTTCTGAGAGGCTGAGCGGTTGTCTATGGTCAGAGAGCTAGTAAATAGCAGACAGGATTTGAACGTGAGTCTTCTCAAGGCCATGCCTTCCCCCCTGCACTAAGCTAACATGCATCATTACCAGTCAAGGAATGAAAACTCTGCCCATCTCTGCATTGTCTAAGCCTAAGCCCCTGCGCTGTCTGTGTCCATTTCTCAATTTTAAACTGTAAGCCAGACTGCAAATGGCAGAAACTATGTTTATTGAATTCATTTCATAGTGTTCAGCATACTTCCAGGAATATATATAATAGATTACTTTCTAAAAGAAGTAACGGTTCCATAAATTTCAAATTGTATCTGGAGCTGGAGAGACCAAGCTTCAGTTCTGTTCTTAGAAGAAAAAAAAACTTTCCAAGAGATCTAGTCTGAATAGAAAGCAGTTTTTCTTCTCAGCAGACTTCTGTGAATAGATGTGTGGGGTTTTCTCCATGAACCCCATCACTACACCAAATAATTCTCCAGCAGACACCACTGGGTGTCTTACAGTTTACTGTCTACTTGGACATAGTGTCAGGTCCAACATATTGAGGGTTCAGTCCCACCAAGACTGTCCCCCAGTTCTGATGACAGGCTCAGGCCCAGATTATAACCTGCTTTTGACCCACTGTCTAAAGCTGGGGGCTCCCACTATACCTCCTTGGGATTGACAATTTGTTATAAAAGTGCATAGAATTCAGAGTAAATACTTTACTTACACTTACTAGTGTATTGCAAAGGGTATTATATTAAGAGTATCGTGCTTCACCTACCGAGCTAGCCAGGAAGATGTTATAAGATACGGATAGAGAGATACATAGGATGAAGTATGTGAAAAGGGGTACAGAGCTTCCATGCCCTCTCTGGGAACCCTACCTCCACATGTTCCACTATTCAGAAGCTCTCTAAACCCAGTTTTTTTGGGGTTTTATGGAGGCTTCATTACACAAGCAAGATTGATTATATAGTCAGTCACTGGTGATCAACTCAACCTTCAGTTCAACTCTTCTTCTCAGAGACTGGGGAATGTGGCTGAAGGTCCCAACCTTCTAATCATGACCTTTTAATCATGGGTCATTATGGTGACCAGTCTCTACCCTGAAACTATCTAGGGGCTCTCAGCCACTAGTCATCTTGCTTGTGTACAAAAATCAATCTCATCACACTCTGGTGAAACCAATGATTTTAGGGGCAGTGTGCCAAGAACTGAGGGCAGAGACCAGATACGCGCACATATTTTTTTTATGTCACAATATCACACCTGTGTTGGAACCCAACGCCATTAATTACTTACTAGCAATGTCACTTGGCTTTCAACATTTCCGGTCTCTGGCCTCAGTTTCCTCATCTGTGAAAGGAGGTCTCTCACCTGCAGAGTGGGCCTCCTCCTTCCTTGTATTCATTTTCTGTGATGCTCTGCTCCTGGAGTACAAAAAATCATGGTTCAATGTTATCTCAGTGAAGAGTGAAGATGCCCTTTGGCGGCTTGTCTACAAGATGGCCATCTGGAGCTTCCCAAAACTGTCATTGGTCACTCCACCCATATGCCAAACCCGCCATGTGCTGAACATTTCCTCTGTACTTAATGAGGCTGTGTTAGACAACAAAAGTCCAGGGAGATGACTAAAGGGCTGCGAGGACATGGGTAGTCAGCGTCTCATGGGCAGACAAAGCCTCCCGAGCCTGTTAGCAGAAGGGTAAGAGGCAGGATCTCCCTGATAGAAGGACAGCAGCCATGCAGGCCCTCCTCTGCTGTCTGTTTCCTTCATCAGCAGGAGTTTGGTGAGGGAGCATCAGTGTCCTGGAAAGAGCTGGTCTGGGAAAAGGGGTCAGGATACTAGAGCTGGCTCTGAGTCATTGTTTGACTCTAAGTGAGCCATTCACCTCCTCATGACTTGGTGGTGTCCCCAGATTTATGCACTCAGGCTCTCTTAGCCCTCAGTATCTGGCAGATATAACCAAAAATGTGGGTCACAGGGATGTCTGTAGACACAAGGCTCTGGGGCTTGCCAGGAAATTTACTGGAACCTTAATTTCCAAATACTCCATTCTGGTTCAAAAGCTTTTGGGGACAAAAGTGGCTCTGATATTCCTCCTTTTCTGTATCCCATGGTAACTGTCCTCTGTCCTCTGTCATTCCTCACTTATTTGCCTGTTCTTTTGGTTTAGATCTTAAATGTCCCCTACAAGTCTCATGTATTCAGAGGTGGATGTGGAAAGGTGATTAGATTGGAGGGTGCTGATGATTTTCCAAGAGTTTTACATGGCACAGAGTGGAAGGGATGATCTAAGATTATCTCAAGTGCTCTATGTCGTGCCTCCTGTGTTCTTCTCTCTGTTACAGTGCTCCTTAAGGAAAACAAAGAGTTATGACAGACAGTCCTCTCATCCAAGCACAAAGATACCCTTTACAGCTACTGTCACCAACAAAGACACTCTAAATACATGAGACTTTTGGAGGACATTTTAGTCCTAAATGGTACAGCACACAATTAAGTGGAGAATGAGGGGCCATAGGGAAGTCTTTATGGGTTAATCCACTGATGAGTTCATAGCTGAATATGCTGTTGGAAGGTGAGAACTGATCTAAAGAGGTGGGTCACTGCGGGGTAACCTGGAAGGCTGTATTCTTGCTCATGGCTCCTTCCGTCTCTCTCTGTTTTCTGGCTGCCATGAGGTGAGCAGCTATCTTTTGCTATGTCCTTCCATCAGTCAGCCATGGACTGAACCCACTTGAATCTGTGAATCAAACAATCCTGTCCTTTAAATAGTGGGTGTTGGGCATTTCATCTTAGTGATGGAAAAGCTGACTAATATACCACTTTTTACCTTATGAGCCTCCTATACATGGAAGCCCTGGTCCTAGCAGTGTGCTATAGATGCTTAACCATCAGTTGTATGGTGGGAGGAACCCGTGATTTGTAGAGTTTGCCAATTACCAAGGCACAGATACTCCCACCATGACAAATTCCAAGGTACCAACCATAACACCAATGATCCAGAATCAAAGCGAATCACAGTAGCACAACACAATATAGTAGTATAACAACACAGACATAGAAAATTATAAAATATAGCCATAGAAAATAATAAAAAGCCATAGAAAATAATAAAATGTAGTTAAACTAAGATATGGTAAAATTTAATCATTTATTATCTTTGCTTTTAATCTAATTTATCAAATTTTAAGTGTAATTTACTTTTTAATACTAGTGTGTTTAACAACTGGCTAGTTCCCTAAATTCCTGAGGAAATACCTGTTCCTTCCCTTCTTGTCTTCCCAGATAGGGCTGTACATCCCCAGGCTTGCTGAGGCTTTGCCATGGAGAAGCCTGCTGCATAAGAGAGTGACTTATTTCTGCATGACCCTCTTGTTTCCCTTTGTTAACTTTAATTATGTGTAACTATATAATTCTGTCTATTATATAAGATATTCCTTCCAGTCGCTCCCTTCTTTGTAAGGATCATACTGAGAAACATGATATCAAGGCCGTGGAGATACCCTGCATGTTATAGAAATGTCCAGTTTGCTCATCTAACATCTCATATTAATTCTGAACCAATTCTGAAAATGAAGTAGGTGGGGCCAGAAGGTGTGGATGAAGCTTACCACAGCAACTTAGCCAATATTTTAGAGTGCTGGGGAGAGTACATTGAAAGCCATCATGGACAATATAAACCAGTAAATGTGACTGCAATTCATGAAACTGTATTTATGGACATAGAAATTAGAATTATACACCTTTTATGTGTCACAAAATGTCATGCTTCTTTTGATCTTTTCCAACCATTTAAAAATGCAAAAATTGTTTTTTAACACACGGATCATATAAAAACAAGCCTCAGGCAGGTGATAGTTTAGTTATCTTACCAAAAGAGACCGAGCTGCAAACAGAACAGTGACTCACTCACATTGATGCAAACTGGAAGAGCTGAGACTAGCTTGGTGCTTGGCAGACAAGGCTTTTTACTAGCCCTCCCTGCCGCAAGGGATGGTTCCTGGGAAGGACAAAGGTAGACAGAAGATGGCTAAGGGTTACAGGGATACAGTTGGATAGAAGAATAATCTTCCATGTTCTATTGCACAGTAGATTAACTAACATTAAAAACAATTAATCATATATTTCAAAGTGGCTAGTACAGAAGACTTTTAATATTCCTAATACAAAGAAATGATCAATTACTCTGATCTGATCATTACATGTTATATACATGTGTGAAGATGTCACACGCTTGCCATAGATATGTGTAATTGTACATATCAATTAAAAGAAACCTTTTTAAAAAGGAGCCATGACAGAGAATCTTGGTGTCTTCTCTAATCTGCAAGGTGCTCCTTGGTCACCGTCCCTTACTGCCTATTTCTGTCCTTTTACTATAATGGGCCTTCACCTGCATCAAGGCTAAGTACGAAAGGCTTTTGGACAGTGTACGCTTAAAGGAAATGTGCGGCCCTGATTCTCAACCATTAAACAGAGTAGAAAGAGCTCACTGTCTCCACTGACCTTGATTTTATGCTTCTATTTTCTATTTTCCCCAAATATCCTAAATTTCCATGAAGCAAGGATTGCCTGTTGGTTATTTTGGATCTTCAAGTGTCTGGTTCCAACTTCTTCATGCAGGAGATGAGAAAGAGCTCAGTAATTCCTCACTGAGCTGCCCTCCAGCCAGGGTGACACACAGAGCCAGGCATGACCCACTTGTGGGTTTGTTTCCCTCAGCATGTTACTGTGACAAATGGAAACATTCAGAGGAGTTTAAATAATTTCACAGTGAACAACCATATGCCCAACACCCAGGTTCTGAAATTCACGGTTTACCATGTTTGCTTCACCATGTGTCTGTCCGTCTATCCATCTACCAGTCTTTCCTTACATGTTTCCACACATTGTAGAGTAAGCCACAGATTTCAGTATGCTTAGCTTTAGCCTCATATTGCTAACTAGAATTCAGTATTTGTTTATACTTTTCCTTATTTTTTTTGACCTAATATAAATTGAAAAGACTGGAGGCTGCTTCCAGAAAATAGCTCTTCAATCTGCAGATCTCTGAAGATGTTTCTTGGGCAAGCCTTTCCTTGATCTTTCTAAGGCTTGATAACACAGGCCCTCTGATGGAGACGGCTCCTGAACTCTGCCTGAAGCGGCTGCAATCCTGGAAACAGGCTTTGGTCAGACTAGAGTTCAGATCCCCGTATCATCACTACAAGCTGTATGTCCTTAGGCTATGAGTTGTGAATTACCTGTAAAGGCAGTGTGGCAGGATAACAAGGTTGAGACTTTAACTCTGTCCGCAGATGGACTTGATTTAGTTCTGTCTGTTAGGACAATAGAGGAAGCACAAGGAAGCTATGATCCTGGCCCCCTTGATGGGCTTCAGGTAGAGACAGATGGAACCCCACGGAGGAGTCACAAAGATTGACACAAAGTGGGAGCACAGGGATCCCCTCTGAAAGGGTTTTGGCCCAGGCCGGACACTGCAGCCTGTAAAACCAAGGAGCTCCTATCTCCCCCACCCTTAGGAATCTACCTCTGGCGCCAAACAAAGACCAGTGGGCTACCTGTGCATCCCTAATGGCCCTCTTAGGTTCCACCCCAAGCCAAAGCTACTTATGTGCCTCCCTCCAGAACTTGCACAGCTCCTCTGGCTCCCACTCATCTCCTGGGTTGCTTTTTCCATGCCCTGTCAGCTGGAGAGTGAAACACAAATGGAGCGTGAAAAAAAATTCAGCAAAATAATTACAGGTTACAACAAATCAATTGGAGCTGTGTAAATAGCCTGAGGCAGGTAGCCCAGGCGAACTCTTCAGCTTACTACCCAGCCCCTTCGTGGTGGAGGCAGAGACATGGGTCCCAGGGACATGAGGTTGGAAAGACCCCTGGCTGCGGCGTCCGGGGACCTAGATGGGACCCCCAACCTGTCCTAAGCAGCTGTGTGAACCTGGGTGATTGGCACCCCTCTCCCAGACTTATTTCATCACCTCTTACACCCAAATAATTATACTTACTTAGTATATTGTGTGTGTGGCTAGGGGTCAGAGAAGGTAATAGATGCAAAACATGCTTTGGAAATAATAGAGAGGTGGACATGGATCCTCTTTTTACTTTCTGTTATCTCCCAAATCCATCGACTTCTCTTTCTGTCTATTGTGGGTTGCTTGGGCCAGCACTGGCCATCTCTCACCTATTGCTGCAACAGCTCCTTCCAAGCCGGTCTGTGTCTACTGCAGTCTCTCTTGCAGTGAGCCTGATCTTCTAAAATCCAGAGTCTGATCATGTTCTTTGGGTCTCATCCCTGATGGCTGGAGGGGAACCGATTGTGGGCTGAGGGGTTAAAGGTAGTTTGGATTAAGAGGAAGAAGTAGCTTAGGAAGAAGGTAGGAAGCAAGACTGCAGGAAGCCGGCAAGTCCGTGGTGTTGTGAGGTGATCAAGGGAG